GACGACGATCATTGTTGTACGCGCGGTGCTTCTTCGCGAATCGAACGAGTCGAACGAGCGCCCGGATAGGTCAACAATGCATTTCCGTATCTCGTCGTCACTGGTTAGCGCGTTCATTGCATTGCACGTCGCGTGTCTCGCGGGCAGTATCGTTGCGCAAGGGCTTCCGCTTTTCTCGTCCCGGCGGAACACCGATGGTGGCGATCCCATTGTTCGGGCTGGATTCCCGGTGCCCGTGGCTTCGTTGAACCTCGATGGGGCTTCCACGAAATCACCACGACCGGACATCTCGTTAGGCTTAAATGAAGCTTCTATTGATGGAAAACTGCCTCAGTTTGATGATTCGTTGAATTTGAATGGATCTTCTGTTGTAGGAAAACTGCCTCAACCCGAGACTTCGTTAAACCTGAATGATGCTTCGATTACGGGAAAATTACCTGAACCAAATATTTCTGTAGATATAAATGGAGCTTCTATCGATGAAAAACTGCCTCAGCTTGATGCCTCGTTGAATCTGAATGGAGTTTCTGTTGTAGGAAAACTGCCTCAACTCGAGACTTCGTTAAACCTGAATGATGCTTCGATTACAGGAAAATTACCTGAACCAAATATTGCTATAGATGTAAGTGGCGCTTCTATCGTTGGAAAACTACCTCAGCCCGGGGGATCATTGGACATTAATGGATCTTTGATTACGGGAGAGTTACCTGAACAAAATAGTTCTGTAGATATAAATGGAACTTCTATCGATGGAAAACTGCCTCAGCTTGATGCCTCGTTAAATCTGAATGGAGCTTCGATTACGGGAAAATTACCTGAACCAAATATTGCTGTAGATGTAAGTGGAGCTTCCATCGTTGGAAAACTGCTTCAGCCCGGGGGATCATTGGACATTAATGAATCTTTGATTACGGGAAAGTTACTTGAACAAAATATTTCTGTAGATATAAATGGGGCTCCTATCGTTAGAAAACTGCCTCAGCTTGAGGGATCATTGGACCTAAATAGAGCTTCGATTATAGAAAATTTACCACGACCAAATATTTCTGTAGACTTAAATGAATCTTCTATCGGTGGAAAACTGTCCGAGCTTGATGCCTCGTTAAATCTGGATGGAGCTTTGACTACGGGAAAATTACCTGAATCAAATATTTCTGTAGATTTAAGTGGAGTTTCTGTTTCTGAAAAAATACCCCAGCCCGACGTACCATTAGACGTGAACAGCGAATCAACAACCGAAACTATTATTCCAGATGATTCTTCCTCAAAACAGAATGGAACCACAAGCTTCCACAACGAACCGATCAAAGCATCGTACGACGTGCAGGATAGTGTGGTGTCTACAGAAGATGCACAGCCTGAAATATTTTCTAGCACTACCCAAACAACGGTGACCCAATGGGTACAGAAAATTCCATCACCCAAAAACCTAAAACCACCCGCAGACAACGTCACTACCGTAGAGTATACTGGATCGCCTATGTTGCTCGGTCAAACAATCGCAAACATTTTGTACGGAACTCCCTGGTCGTCGTCACAAACCAATTCAAAATGCTCAAACGATATGAAATTATATAACTCACACAAGCAAAAATCTACTTTATGGGCAGTTAAAAGTACGTGCATATATTTAAACCTATTTATTTAGCAATTGCGCTTTATTTATTACATTAGATATTTAAAATAGTTAGAAATTGTGTGAATTTATTTTTCTATTCATCACATTCCCAACATATAAGTAATATTATGTATACTATTATATTTACAACGTGATAATCGAAGTATACGTGAACCCAGTATACTAATTAAAAATACTACAAAACTGTAAAGGCGTTCTTTTAAACTAAATATTATTAATATGATATTAATATGAAATAAATAAATAAATAATAATAATAATAAATAATAATGATAAATAATATGATATTAATATGATTATTATGATATATAAATGTATTTTAATATAATTATGATCGGATAGTTAAATGTCACGTTTAAGATTTAACAGCGATATTTAATTTGATTTTCTAATCACATTTTTCCATTCATTTTGATTTATTGTTTGAATACCACTACATTTTTTTATTGTACCAGTAATAGTTAGATATTGCAATTTTCAAAGTACAAAGTCCAAAGTGGTGATAGCTGTGTCATACAATGATTTTAAAGTATTTTTGACTAATTTGTCTATAATATTAATAATTTTTGGTCTTTTTTAATGGAGCAATACAAAACCAAAACAATTATTTCATGAGTGGATTTTATCTTGCGATTGATCAACAATTTTAAAACTATTCGCATTCAAATTAAATTTTGAAAATGCTAATTATAAGTGCCAATTAAAACGATTGTCACTTTATCTAAATTAAATTATCTTATACAATTCATCAAATAAACAATGCAAATTCTCCGAGTATTATAATAATAATTTCTCAATTAAAAAACACATTCATATTCAACCGATTTTACAGTAGGGATTAATATCATAATTATCCTCATACGAAATAATATATCTTACGCTTTTAAATTCATCTGTACAGTATTATATTTTAGACCTTAGATTTTAAATCTAGATTTAAAATATCTATAAAAGCCGATATAGAATAAAATCATATTTTCCTCTGGGAAACATGAATATCCATAAAAACATAATTTATATTTTTACTTTAACTTTGACTTAGAGATTCGTTTTCCTTTTTTTGTGCAAATCATATTTATATTGAAAATTAACGTTTTCAGAAATGAAAATACAACATGGATAAATAATTTAAATATTTTTTTATGATTAAAATATAATAAATATGAATAAATAAAATTAAAATATTTAATTAGTCAATAAATTCAAAAATAAAATCGCACATAGGATTGTGTAATAATAAAATATTTAACATTTTTATCCAAGTTGTTTTTTTGTAAATTAGTATGTTTTATATTAATATATCCTTACTATAATGTACATGGCGTAGTACATAAATAAAATACATTATATATTGTCTATGTATTTCCATATTAGGTATCTTTTTTAGCCATACGAAACATGTTTGGTTTTCATAATTTGAAAATTATGGTTTTAATTTGAATAATCGGCATAAATTTATAAAAAAGGAAAAATATATAATTAATCAATTATAAACGACGTAATTTATATATTTATAACTATAAGTGAGATTGGTTTTTGAAGTACAAGTTTTCTCTATTGAATTAGTTGAATTAGAATGCAACTATACATAATAATACTAATCATTTTTAAACAAATTAATTTTCTTATATTTATAAATATAATATTGTTTAGATTGTTTATATGTGTGCATAACAAATAATCAATAAGTATGGGTATTTCTCAATTATTTATCAAAATACTATGCAAACACTTACTTACGTAATTAAATACATGGTGATACAGTATGTAAACAATTTGGTTTTCGAGTCAACAAAGAAATTGAATTAAATAATTTAAAACGATATTTTGTTTAGCATGTATGCTGAAATCACATTAAGTATTTTAATTTATTGAAATCTAGCATGAGAAATTGGCAAATAATAATACAAGGAAAAACTGGAAACCACCTTAAAGAGAAGAATATGCATATTGCATAAAAACTATTTATAAAATACTCATATAGACTGTTTGCAGGATAAACGAAATTCCATACACTTAACGCATGTATAAGATCGTTCTATTAGTAATCGTTATTTTTCAACCCTATATAATTTTGATATAAACAATTTATGATGCAGGGTGATAAATAACACAATTGTACCTATATCATTAATATATCATAAACACGTAGTTATATAATATTGCAACCAATAGTAGATTATAGGTGTAAATTGTGTCACATTTAACGATTAAGGATAGCTTTTTTTTTTTTTTTGTTTAAATTAAATAGATAAGAAATTTGTTTAGGAAGTTTATGTTACACTTCAACAGTAGCATAGTCAGGGAGGTTTAAAATATATATGGTAAAAATAAGATAATTTATACCTACCTCACGTAGCCTCTTCATTCCATCTCATATCCACCACATCCACTTAAGACCAAAGGCAAAACAAAAAAATTTTATACACGGGAAAAAGTTTAAATTACGCCCAATCATAAGCCAAGAATAAAATACCCTTCCCTAATTTTTTTTTCTAATTATTAGCATACCATCATACTTATTGAATTTTAAATACACCACCGGTAACAAAGGTAAAAATATATCAAACTAATCGTCAATATTAGATTATATTCTAAAAAATTGCACTCTCTAAAATTTTACGCCCGGGGATGAATCCATGTCTTCCTTCTCCTAATTCTGCCACTGCTTGAGACAGGTAGGTAAATTAATATAGTGACGAACTTGGTTTCAATTAATTGAAATACGTATAAGCTAAATGAAACTTATACGTAATATACATAATATACTTACCTATACTTTCGTACAACTGTCTCAAATGTTTTCATAAAATGTATTCTTAGTTATAATAATCATTAAAAATTGATGTACCATAAAAATTGCAAAATGTTGTTAACCTTGCTATGACACATTAATTTCCAAAATGGTAGTTCTTCAAACACGTTGATTATGACCAAACGACGACTGTCATTTAACCTGTTTTGAACTATCCTACGAAATGACAAATGCAGTATTCCTTGTAGAAAAATGATTATATTTCTGCATCATCCATATCAGACTATATATATAGATACAAATAATTACCAAAGCAATTGTTCAAAGAACCGTCGGATAGTTATTAAAACGACATACACGTTGTATTCTATTAAACTATTTTGCATATACAAATAAAATTGTAATATATGAAGTTGATGAACGATTTAACATATGAGTATTTAATTATGATCAATTGACACTGTATAGACGTTATAAATTTAAATTATTATAACTTTATAATCTAACATAAAAAGCAAAAAAATAAACATAAAATATAAAAAAAAAAATACATAATTATTTGTATGAAAAGTAATAAATAACTAAATTCAAACGACGCTTAGGTATGTAAAGTTATGTAAAGTTAAAATTTTAGAGAAATTGAAATTAGGAATGAATCTAAAAAATACCAGAAATAAGATGGTATTCGTTTTTTACGAAAATAATTCTAATGACACGCATCTTTGAATAAGGAAATATTCCTATGATAAATTTTACTATTAAAACAATGTCCATTTAACTAATAACTACATAGAATTAATACTTTTTAACTCGAACATTAATCGATTCGTTCTCAACAACTCATAAAAAACGATATATATTAATTCCATATTGTTCCGGTTGGGATCATTAAAGTATTTTACGCATCCATACGATTAGGACTTAATCATTGTCAAATATATAATATTATACATATATTATATATTAATGCAATAAATAAATAACACTATATATTTTTATGTAAATGTTTATGTTTTAATTTCGCTCGATAAGTAATGATATATGGTTTATTTTATATGTCTAGTGTTAGATGCTACATCAAAAGGACCTGAAGGAATTCTAGACGGAAATATATACAGTTTTGGGAACTTCGAACAATGTATCAATACTAAATCAAAAAATCTCGATATAAGTGGTGGTTACAGCTTGGTTGATTTAGATTTTCGACCGTTCGTTCACCTATACCCAGGATATTACGATAACAATCACTCAAAAGATTACGATCCACTTGATGAAGATGCGTCAGCCTGGGAAGGAATTAAAGTAAAACATTTTAAATAATTAATACAACGTAAAAAATAAAAATAAATTTGCCATCAACTGTAATAGGATAATGAATAAATATTACAAATAAAAAACCATTTATCCTTAAAAATAATTAAATTTATTAATTACCATATTTATTCAAATGTACCATTAATCATTTCCTATAGTTTAAGGGTGATATAAAATTTGATTTATCTTACATTTCTACGTTTGTTATTACAAATTTCACCGAAGAGGTATATTCTTGAATTCCTATTATTTGTGACATTTATACGTACGCTTTCATTGAACGTAATATTTCATACCACATTAATTATTGTGACCATACATTACACTTTTTTTATTTATTAATAGCTGTACGCAACCCTTATTGAATATGGATTAAAAAAAAAAAAACTTTTACACTGTTTTTACGTGTTAAGCACAACGTACAGGAAGACTATATTCAAAGGCACAAGTTTCAATGGGCCGTATGTTTACCCGACACTTGCGAGTCTGAAGACGTGCAAAAGATCGTAAGCAACGTACTCATACCCGAGTTGAACCGTCACGGGCTCGAAGCCAATGTGACCATAGATCCAATGTTGCATACTTCCAATAAAAATCTCTACAAATATACGGCAGGATTTTATATCGTCTGGTAACTAGTTGCTAATGTTGCGTTTCCGTACGAATTGATAATACAACGGTCACGTCTTGTGTTTATAGTGCTTTGTACGTGGCAGTTACCATGCTCGTGTTTGCGGGTACACTGTATGACTTGATTTACTTGCAATACCGACCGAAATCGGAACACGGACCGATGAGTAAGTTCAAATCGCTGCAACAATAATAATCGATTGACGTTCGTACTCCACGCAATCGATTATTGTTGTCATCCGTCTGTCGGCTAACCACGTTTTGTTTCCATCTTAGAAAAAATTATGAAACCGTTTTCACTCATATCGAACATTGAACGACTATTGAAACCTTCGGAGAGTGAAGAATTCTCGATAATCAACGGGCTCAAGGTATGCGCCATTCTACAAGTAATCGTAGGTCACAGGTGGTTTTTGGAGTTCGGCAATCCGCAAATGAATCCCGATTTCGCTCACTGGGTAAGGGTAACATCGAAAATTATTCCAAAACTATAATGTTGCAATACGCAGAACGTTTGTAACATGATGATCGTTTTCTCCGTCCAGGTGATCCACAACTTCTGGTTCGGCTACTTCAAGTGTTCCATATTTTTGGAAACATTTTTCGTGATCAGTGGATTCTTAACGTTTTACATTATCACGAAACAATTGATCGAAAGGAAAACGTTAAACTTCATGCCCATCATGATTTACAGATGGCTGAGGTACAAGCAGCACTACTAGTAGTAGTAGTAGTAATAGTAGTAGTAGTAGTAGTAGTAGTAGTAGTAGTAGTAGTAGTAGCTAATAAAACTTGTACTGTATATACCGCAATTGTAAACCGCAGCTTTGTAACATGCGACAAGCGTATGATGTTAATATTAAATTTGTAAGTGTAATTATTTTAAATAAATAAACGATGGCGGACCGGCGGGAATGCAGAGCAGAGGCAGTACTCCCCCGGTTCGACGATACCAAGATAAAAAAAAAAAAAAAAAAAAAAAAAAAAAAAAGTAGTAGTAGTAGTAGTAGTAGTAGTAGTGATTTATTGCACGAAAACGCATTGTGTTTTTATTCGAGTATTATTGTTTTCCGTGTTTTCAGGATATTCCCTGTATACGGAACTCTTATAGTGACGTATATTTTCATACTTCCGTACATTAATGACGGTCCGTATTGGAGAAAGCTGATATACAGAGAATCCGAAAGATGTCAAACTAATTGGTGGACGAACGTGCTGTACATCAACAATTACGTGCACACGGATGAATTGGTAAACATGAACGAGACCGTGATTTTGCTCGGAAACGATTAATCGTTATACGACTGTTTTAATAACCATGAAAACGTTTTGTTCTTTACGATACAGTGCGTCATTCCGTCGTGGTACTTGACGTGCGACATGCACTTCTTCGTCGTTGGCACGCTACTCACCTACGCCATTTGGAAGTGGAGGAAACCGGGACTGGTTCTGCTTGGAACGTGTCTGGCCTTGTCGACGGTCGTTCCTGCATACATTATCATGAACGAACAACATCGAGGTACACCGGCCATCGATCCGCAGTGAGTAGTATCAATTGTAATGTTGTCGGTGCCCAACGGTTAGTATCGCACCAAAGTAAATGATATGGTTCTGATGATAAAATCCGAGTAAAATTAAAAACAGGCATACATTTTAACCGGTGACCTGATTCTCTACGACACGAAACGCGGATTTGTTTTCAAGCGTTCAAAAATATAAACATATATTTATTGGTAATACTTACGCTATACTACACGTGGACACTTTTTACGTATTTATTTTTTTTTTTCAATTCCAATTTTTAATTTTTAACTTTGACAGACAATTATCAAACTGAATTTTAACATAACAACAATTTACTAAGAAAAATTATTATAATTATTGATTAAGTATCGGTTTTTGGCAAACATGGAACTAATTTAGTTATGGAACATGTTCTTACTAATAAAATAAGAACTAAACTGTTAACATTTTTTCTATTTCAAACGTCGTTTTACAAAAGATTATAAAATCTATTTTTATTGACATACCAATAAGTTAGTTGTTATATTTGAATTTTGTAGTTCTTAGTTATTTTTTTTCTCCGTAACTAGTTTATAATAATAATTTATAACTAATATAAAAACCACAATAATAACTTATAACTAATATAATTATCTTAATAATTCATTGAAATCAGTTAAAAATAATAACGAGGTTATTCATATATTTTTTTCTTTTATATCAGGAGTCTACAAGATCTCAGTAAAGAAAGATTCTATACTAAGGTTTACATAAAAAGTCACATGAGAGCTATGACTTACTTTGTTGGAATCTTAGCTGGTTACATCTACATGCAATTAAAGGAAGCCGATTACAAACTATCATTGGTAATTAAACATTTGATCATTTACATTATCTAATAAATAATACAGAATTACCAAAAATGTTTTAAAACAAAACATAAATCGATTATATATTTAAATGCAATTTCACAACATTTTACCAATTATTATAAAGAAATATTATTTGTACATTCTATAACTATTATGCGTTTGGTTTAACAGAAATCATAATGATATTATTTGTTACTCGATTACATTGTGATTGCTAACAGAAAAGTCGTATTTTTTGGGCTCCAACTGTCCTCTTGACGGGAAATATCATCTACTTGAGTTCCGGGTTATTCTTCCGGTTGGGACATTCATACGTGAATTACGAACACGCGATTTATTTCATAGTTGGCAGACTCGTGTGGTCAATACTGATATCTTACGCGATTATTGGTCACGGACTGTCAGGATTTGGTATGTTTGATTTTCACCTGGAAGTATTGAATCCGATTCAATGTGATAAACTATATCTTATCGTCCGATGTGTTTCCCAGGCGTATGTATAAGCGGATTTTTGGGTCATCGAGTTTTTCAAGTATTGGGCAAATTGGTGTTTTGCATCTATATGTTCCAAGAAATTTCTCAACTACAGACAGTTAACTCCATGAAAACGCCGACGTATCAAAGTTTGACAATGATGGTAAGCACAATTATAGTATAACACCGATGACTGTTAAAATTTATCACAATATTCTAACAATTATTTTTTAATTCATATCCTTACAACAGACATGGAGGTTTTGTGGTGACGTCTTTAATGCCCTCTTGTATGGTTTCGCTATAAATGTAATGATCGAATCACCCTTCGACAGACTTCAAAAGAACGTTATGAGAATATTTGTTGGAGGTAAGGATATTTTTTAATGCGTTTACTTGGAATTATTCCTTATCCGGGAACAGTATAATTTTTATATCTAAATAAGCAAATTTATTTTTTGTCGGACATATGTTTTGGAAACAGAATTTATTAGCATAAATTACATTAATTAAATCATTATATAATTTTACAATGCTTAATACGAGTAGTATACATTTCGTGTATGGTATACATCGTAGAAAAACGAGTTTATATACATCGTAAATTATTTACTAATTGTTTTTAAACAACTTATACTTGGTTATTTTATGAAAATTCCACAGGAATTCATTGCGAACAAATGTTTATGATTTTACTTAGATCTAATATTGATTTTAATTTATTTGCTTTTAACTTCAAAACCATAAACACGGTAAATATTTTACAGAAAAACATTATTTATTTAATCTTATTTCGTAAGTAATAAAAATATTTCATTATTTTTGAACTAACTTATAATGATTCTGAATAACTAAAATCAGAAGAAACAAAAAGGGTATTATTTATTTATTGGATACATTTATTTTATTTTGGAAATTAATCGTAATTTTTGTATTAATATAAATATACCTTATAATATCATACGAATCATTTGTAAATATATTATTAATCGTGTCCAGATAATAGTTATACACTACAGCAGTTGCATAAATAATTTTTAACACTTAGTATGGAATATTAATCATATTTTGTGGTCATAAATACGATAATATCGATCCATAATGATGATTACCAATAACATACATAAATTCTCTATTTAATGCTATAGTCTATGCAGAGATGGAACTAGGAATTTTTACGCCCGGGTAAAATTTTAAAATTACGCCCTATCCATAGAGTAATAAATAAATACTCAAATAAATTGTGTTCTTATAATCAATATACAATCGTACTTATTGAGTATTAACCTAATTTTTAATATCAGTATTTAACGAAGTTAAAAATATCAAATTAGTTGTTAATAATTACGAAAATTACACCCTCTAAAATGTTACGCTTGGGGATAAATCCCCGACTTCCCCCCCTAGATCCAACCCTAAGCCTATGACCAATTCTAGATATACATACGTTATAAGGGTAATTGATCATGTTATCTATCACGTTAAGTTTGAAAACTAATTTTTTAGTTGCATATGGGTTAAAGACTATTTTTAAGTTTTAGTTTCATGTAATTTTAAAAGCAATTATATTATTCATAAAGTAAAAATTAAAGCATATTATAAAATACCAAAAATCGTCGTACATCAATCCACTGCTTGTATAATATTTTATCTTCAGCTGTAAACGAAACAAGCTTGGATCATGAAATGGTATCGACGTTAGATACGAGACCTCAGACAGTCGCACGGACTTCGAGCTCTGAAAGTTGTACAACGATCATTACGTACTACATCGATACGACAATGTTCGTTAAAGATAACAATGAAACACGTTTTATCGAAAATTCTCACGTAACGAGTAGTGGACTGTTCTGAATAAAGTAACAATTTTGACAAATATTAGACCCATTACACCGGCTGTTTTGTATATGTTATATTTATATTTATTGTGCAAGCAAATTAATTATTCTGATAAGAGAGTGCTACGCATTTTTTCCCAAACACTGCACTGAACGGCTAATAAAAATAAATCTCAATGGACGATAAATTAACGAAAAGCCATAATAAGTTGGCCAGCGAATTTTTATTTTCCTATTTTGCATTTATGACCCTAATATATATTACTTATATTACATATGCCTGCGTAGTACACATATATGTTTTACTCTTATTAAACGATTCTAAATGATCATCGTCCGCATGTAATTTTCACTGCTTTTACTTAAAACTAAAGTACATCGTCTAAATCGATTTACATTGACTTGAATCATCACTTTCATTTTCTTAACACCATTAACTTATATATTAATAATTATTAATCGTGACACGAAATCGTCATCACATTTATATACATTCTACCACAAAATATATTGAATTAAATTTATGCTTTTCTTTTTCGTTTCAGATGCATTTTCAAAACCGAAAACACAACTCTCAAATAATGATAACATTAAAAACAGATCTGAAAGATTCACTGCGTAATCTGAATTCAAAAGGGCATTACTAACTCGCTACCACCTTAAGATGGTAAACTATTCCTCAGATGAAAATATTGTATAATTATGAATTATGATGTATGTTACCCTCCCTACGTTTTGTATGCCATTATGGAAAATTAAGACTTATCAATGTACATAAAATTGTGTATGTTATTTATGTATAAAACTAGATATTTATTTCATAATGTTTAAGTATTTAATCAAAAGTATTTATTTCGAGGATATACAATGTATAAATAGTAAAAACAATTTGTTCATTACCAGAACTTATTTTAAATACATTTTTTAGTATTTTACAATACTTTCTTATAAAATAATAGTATATTCTTCAATGTAACACTAATCCTTTTCAATAACTAATTTATAAAATTACGATACATTAAATTTTATTTTACTATGCAAGCAAAATATGTTTACAATAATCATTATCAAGTTTTCGAGAAAACAATAAAACAAGTGCTAATCTCAGAAGTATTACATAACTTTGGTATAGACGAACTTCATATTGATTCAATATTGATTCAAAAGGTTTATATACAATATTAAGTAATGAGCATAATTTATCCACTTCACTTTGTTAAACATTTATTAAAAAGTGCAATTATTTTTAATAGATTTAGAATAACTTCCAAATATCCCTGTTTAAAAAAAACTTTTCTAATTAATTGATTGTGAACTCAGGTCTTAAACAATATATTTTCCACGTTTTATTATTATTACCTTACATATTTTTCGTGCTGAGCATTAGAATACGATAGTATAATGCAATTTTATTACCGAATATAAGTATACAAACGAACATCAAATAAACATATTCTTCTTCTTATTTGCCTTAGCGTATCAACTCTTTGAGATTTTTGGCGATCACCACAATATTGCATAATCTGTGCCAGCCGTATACTATATATTTCCAGTTCTCAATGCAAATTTTCACCAAGTATTCCTCCACTCAATCCAGCCACATTTTTTTTTTTTGTTTCGTGACCTCTTCCCTTGAGGTATCCATTCAATAGTATAATTTTTGCTATGTCAAGTTTAAATACATCGATTCCAATATTAAGCTTCATCACTACAAATCATTGCAATTAATTATATTTTTAACACAGATATACAATATTATTACAACATCCATCAATAAACGTACAAAAATTGAAAATAAACGTAAAAAAAAATACGTGCACCATATATTGCATGGTTTCTGAATTTACGTTTACAATTTTTGCGTGTCACAAATTAACTTTAGTTATCTATAAATATTTGTAATGGAAATTGTATCAGATGAATATAATGAACATTTTCTGTATGCTTAAGATATTTAGGTTATAATAATAGCACAGCCACTATAAATATTAGTTAAATACACTCAATTTTTTTAGAGATACTAATCGAGAATAACTTACAACAATTCAAAACTGTTTCTTTTCTCATGCAGAGGAATTAATTAAAATTATTATAAATGTAAATCATTTTATAACGCTGCACATATTATAAAATTTATTTCATAACATTTGTGTGTAAATTACATAATTTTAACAGTTTTTTTGTTTTTAATTTTAAGAACTATGACAAAATAATTCAAATCTAAAAATGTTTTGTTTACAAATTTAATGAAATTTAAAAATACTGGTACGATATTTTAGTGATTACTAAGCCTTTGATTAATTTTTTGAAGATCGATTCAAAAGAATTTTCATTATTACATTTTAAATTAAAATCTACATCAAATTTGATGCTTTTACTATTTTAATATATAATGTATAAGTTTTTATTCGTTCACTTAATGAAATTTCGAAGGCTTAAAATAGATTTATCTGATTTATAATTAATTTTAATTACAGTATACGAGCTAGATAAAATCAATTCGGATAAGAAATTAAAATATTACATTTTTATTTTTTCTAATTTTCTAGACATGACATTGGTTATAAATGATAATTTAAAAAAAAAAAAAATTCTGATATTCCAGATATTTTCTAGCAATAAGTGTGAAACTTGAAGACCAGTATATATTCTTAAAGATACCGCTATATTATGTAAATAATTTCAGTTATCATAGTTCGTTACATTTATTTGGATCAAAATATTAATTATTAACTGTATTATTCTTTGCATCAAGTATAGGTTTTTTATAAATATAATACGATATAATTTGACACAAAACGTAATGGTTTTTTTTTTTTTTTTAATCAACGTAAAAATAGGTATTCATTGAAATATAGGTATATAAAATTATCTAAACTATTGAAATATATAAGAAAACACATCTCATCACTTTGACTCTATTGATCGAATAAATGAAATAAAGGGTTGACCAGTTTTCTTAAAATAATTTCTAAAAGTTTGAATATTCGGATTGTCAACTTTCTTTTATAAAAAGAAAAAAGAAAAAAAAATGTTGTTCGAAAATCCACAGTAGGTATGATTCTCAAAAACTGATAGTTTCTTATTGTATTTTTAAATAAAACTGTTCCACGAACTTTTTTTACATATCTATTTTCCATAATAAATTTATCGAATGAAACTTATTCAATCAATCAACATCAAGTTACGAAAAGTGTAAATCTACTGTTAAAATCACACATACAAAAATATTTATTTAAAAAAATCCAATGTTTGAAAAGTTTCAAATATGTTTAGAGATTATCATTTTCTAGAAACTTGAGAATTTTTTCAAAAATTTTTAAAGATATCCTGAAACTAGCGTTGTCCCAAATGAAATAGTCCCAAACTATTTTTCTTACTTTTTCTCTTTAAACATGATTTACAGAAACTATTCAATGAGTAAAATTCCCATTTGATTTATATATTTTTAATAATTATAGTGTTTTTTGTAGATGCTAAGGCTTGATTTCTAATAAAGCATCTGACGATACACGACTGCTGCTACGAAAGTGACGTGATTTAAATTTTGACCATAGTGGTAAGGCAAAATTTAATCGATTTCCATTTCACAGCTCCGTAGTCTATCATGCCATGCAGCCAAAGATCATTAAACTATTTGTTTGTAAAACAAGATAACGATTTACAAATTTCTTCAAAAGTTATCTTAACGTTTCAAGAAAAAATACTATGATGGTTTATTATAATAATGAATACCCATTCATATTTTATTACATACTCTGGTGTATGGTATATGGTATTTAAAAACACAACATATTTAACATAAAAAATAAAGCCAGTAGTAAATGTAGTAGGAGTATTATATTTTTTTTCGAATATTATGCACCACTAATAAAAAATTGGCTCAGGAAGAGATATTGTTTTATTTTAACATATTATGTTTTATACACGAACCATGCGCATTAACTCTTGGTAAAAATATTTAATTTCCAGTAAAAATATTTTCACAATAGGTACCCGATATTTTTTTTCCTTGTTAATATAGTTACGTCTATCTTTACTATACAATGGACTACTTGGAAGTTTTCTATACCTACTTCACACTATTATCGTTAAAGATGCAAATACATACACAGTGGTACATGCAAATATTATTTTCATATCAACAGCTCATAATTATTCATGTTCATTTTATCATTCATAAATTTGATTAATAATTATTATAGGCTTCGCAGAACGTATATGTTTTCGTTTTCACAGCAACAATAGAAAATTATTTTAAAGAATATTAATTAAGTTCATTAAAACGTAAAATGTTAAAACGTAAAAGGCAGAAAAAAAAATATAAAATACTGGACCACATTTTTTGAAACTTTTACATTTTGGAATGTACACAAAAAGAAATACTTTAGTATTTTATAAAATGAATAACCAAATTATTGAAAATTTACATTTTCTTAAACAATAATATTTATTTAAGTCTGAAATCGATAACTCGATGCTTACCTACGGAACATATAAATCTTGGTTATGAAAGGAGAACATATACATTTATTGTAACCTTGGTTTTTTTTTTCCCTTCCTTTTCCATATTATCCTTCGCAACTTGTATATGATTTAGTAATGTATTATAAATTGTATATTTATGTAAGATGCTGGATAATTTATGTATCATATTGATACTATAGTAAAAGGAAATATTAATATTTTACTCTCTTTGATCAACAAAACTGTCAAATATTCAATTACGTATATAGTTGTTTCAGATAGTAGTTAATTAAATCCGGGAACAAAATACCTAAACTATCTAGTGTAAATACAAGGATTGATTATACAATAAAATTAAACTTAATTAGTTTTAATAATAATAGTGTAATAAGTCCACCAAGTATGTTACCCACATAACATCATATGAGCTGTGGGTAACTAAGTTAGTCTCAGTAAATAAAATACTTCACACATTTCTTGGAGTGTTTTTATTTAGTCCAACCATTCTACACGCAACATTTGAAGTGCCTACGATATTAAGTTGGATCTCGTAGTTAAATTATTTTTATTCGATATATGCAATTTGGGTCAGTATAAAATTCACCAACATCGAAGAAAAGGGATAAGAACGAATTAATAAAAAATAGTCAACAATTATATAAATTGTAAATCATTTGAAGATTCATAGCAACTGAAAATGTTGAATGACTATTAACATTATATATATATATATATATATATATATATATATGTTATTTATGTTGTTGATGATTATAAAAATGGTTGAAAAAATAAGAGAGCAATCTACAAAAGAAAAAAAAAAAGAAAAAGAAAAGAAAATTTGACACCTAGCCAATGGCTAATGACGTACTTGAGGACATCTTATGTTTTCTCAACGTAACGGAATATAAGAGACAACAAATAATTAGTTTAATAATGACTATAGATTTTCACATTGTTAAATATTTAATAAATTACATTCTCAGTATTAATAATATTATTATACCAAATGTTAATAAGAATTAAATAAAATGCATTATAATCGATAATAATGACGTCAAATTCTGATGATATACTGTAGTAACAGAAAAACAAAAAGCATAATCGACAGAAATACTATGATCAGAAAAAAAATAAATATTTTTCGAGTCTTTTAAATAAAAGAAGTGATGAATGAAGCTTATTACTGCAAGAGTGTTGTCGGAAACAGATGAATGAGACGGGATCCTTTAGATGTCTTATAGTTTTATCCAAAGTTGAAAATAAAAGCAAAAATTAGCATCTTTAAGAATTTTAACTTATTGTAATATTAT